CAGATCAGCCGAATCAACCCTGGCAATCCCTGGGTGACAGATGTCACAGCCAGATCACCCGCACATCTGTTTTTGAACTCTGTATAGTCATACAAAACTATGTTTGAGTGATTCATCCACTTTTTGCATATAAACTGTGGTTCCTTATTCCCACAGCAGATTACTCCTCCATTACATGAAGACACACTGTACATCCCCCTGTATTGGGCAGAACTGCTTCCATTTTGATGCTGTTGCATATATGCTTCCTGAGCATTCACACACGAGCATTTTGATGAACATATGCCCAGGAGTAAAACTTCAGGCCGTGGGTTCAGCTTTAGTAGATGCGCCCAGTTTTCAAAGGGATGGTGCCAGTTTCCTCACCCAACGGCATCATTGTGGGAGTTCCAGCTGCTTCATGCCCTCGCCAGCTCTTGCTCTTGTCTCATTTTCATCTTAGCCATTAGGGATTGGCATATAACAGATAAATTATGGTCTTCATCTCCCCTTCCCTGATGATTCCTGAAGTTGTGCATTTTTCCATATATTTTTTTGGCCATTTGAATATTCACTATTGTAAATAATGATTCCCTTTAAATTTTATCTTCAGTTGGAAAATATTTCTGAGACTGCTTTGTATGCAGGAAAATTCTGTTTGCCTTCCCACCTGGGTTTTATCATTTCTACATCAGGACATCTGGCATTTCTAAAGAGGGCTCCAAAGTGAAGGGGGGTAAGAAAAAGGAATGGGTAGTGTGACTCCAGCCATCACCTGGCATTCTCTGAGCTTTGGAAATTACCCAGCGAGGCAGAGGCTCCAGGGCTTTCTCTGTGCACTTTGTGATTGACATGCAATCATCAGAAATTAGGAGAGATGATTTATATATCACATTGAGAGCTGACCTCTAGCCCCCTTACTCTCTTCCTTTGGAGTTTGGGCTATAGATTGATTTCAATGACTACTGAGAAATGAAGATAAACGGATTTCTTTCCTTCTCTTCTTTAACTCATAATTAGGCAGGGAACACACAGGGAGCTGGATTTGCTAACAAGGCTAAGCCTTTTGTGCATCGAGGACCTAGTGTATGCCTGGGGTATTAAAGTGATTAAGAAAGTGCTTAAGCTCTGCAACGATTTTCAAACTTTAACAGATCAAAGTTTTCCTGGTGCAAAATGGAAGCCCATCTCCCTGCACTCAGCGGAGAAACTACTGACCTCCTGGCCCCAGCCTAGCCTGCTCACTATCTTCCCAGTTTATCTCACAAGGGGCTATCAAACAAATACCTGGAGGGGAAGGAAGTACTTGGGAGTGGTGTTCCCTTGAACATCTCCTGTGTGCCATCTCCTTACCTCAGGCTTCTTGTCAAGACCTGCCCTATTTTCAGGGGGTTTACAGGAGAGTAGGGAGCTAGGAAAGAAATGTTACCGGGTCAGAGCCATGTGTTTCAATAACAAAACAGCTACAGAGGAGATAACCGGAAGCAGCCTTCTTTTAACACGTGATTTCTGAGACAGGCCCAGGCGGGGGTTCCTAAGGCAGGTGAATCTAGGTCATGTCCTTTGGGAACTTCACAGTCTCTTTGTAATTGAGTCATTGTTAAGTGATGGAAACTGAAAATGCCTGCTGGGTTTGTTAGAGAAAGAGGGCACTTCCAGTCGTGGTGGCCCAGGTCATGCCTCCAACACTCCGTGAGCAGGACCAGTATTGCCTAAGTCCCCAGTATAGACAGGATGGGCAAGGCGCTGTGCACCTGTCATTCCCTGGAATCCTCTCTGTAGATCTGGCATTTTTGCCCTACTTCTCAGATGAAGAAACAAGGGCTCGGAATAATATTCACGAAGACATAAATTTAGAGTTGGCAGAATTGGATCTCAAAATTAGGGACTCCCAAGTCCTAGAGAATCTGTTATAGGACAGGGAGAGGGGCAGCCCAAGCCCCGCAAACCTGCCCATTCTAAATGGGTTCTGCCATCCGCCGCATCAACACAAAACACATGAGACTTTAATGGGAAGGATCTTTAATAAAACTAGGAAACAATACAGGTAAGGCAAAGAGTCCAGTTTCTAAATGAAGCACCCAAAGTTACCCGTCCCCTCGTGGGTAAAACTCCATCCATATGGGATCGGCCCAGAGCAAGGCCCCAAAGCCTGCCACAAGTCTAAAGCATCTTCCAGTGGGGACCCACAGAAAAGAGTCAGAAACAACCAAACAAGCCCGGAAGGAAAAGAGCAAAATCAACATCAAGATAAAAGCTGCCATGGTCACCTCCCCACGGGTCTCACCCACATCTGTGTCACCCAGTCCACGACCAAAAGACAAGCGCAGTTTCTTCACGTGTCTCTAGGCTCCATGCGCCTCCTCCAGGTCTCCTTCTGGCTCCATCCTGCTTCCTTCCTCAGTCTCTTCTGCAGCTTCTCCTCTTCCTGCTCAGCTCCACCCTCCCTTGGGAGGGGCAGGGAACCTCCCCCTTTCTTGGGGACCACCCTGTTACAAAACCTCCAGGCATCTGTGCTGGGGGATGGGAACATGAGGATGGGCATGTGGCTGGCAGGGGTCCACATTGGAATGGTGAGTGTGAGGGCAGGAAAAAGCCATTTTGGTGGCAGCCCATTTAGGTAGGTGTAGACTTCATGGTGGAAGAAGTGGGCAACCGTGCTCTGGAACGTGGTCAGAGCCCAAGAGTAAGAGCCTCTGGACTGGGTCACAGTGAGCCTGGGAGAGAGGTGATGCTTGCCTTTACTTCTCACCTCGAAGTGAGCTTTTAACAGTGTGTGATGTTTAAGGGAGGCAGCCTGCAGCTTCAAATACAGGGTGATGGTTTGTGTGATTCTATACAAGCCTCTTCACCTCTCTGAGCCTCAACTTTCTTTCCGCTAGAGTATGCACAGTCGCCTTTAAATGAGATAAACCTAGCATAGCAAAATGGACAGTCAGATGGTCAAAACATGTGGTTAAGATTTAAGGCAGCTGTCAACTTCCAGGTGTCTTTGCCACTTACCAACTGTGTGTTCTTGGGCAAGTGACATACCCTCCCTGTGTTTTTGTTTTGTTCCTTATAGTAGGGATAATGGTAATAATTCCTTTCGGAAGAGGTTGTTATGAGTGTAATACATACATTCACATGAGTTGATACAAATAAAGCCTGCATAGCATAGCATCTGGCCATATAATAAGTTCAATAAATAGTAACTACAATTATGTTCTCCTCACATTGTCTGGTAAGTAGTAGTTGCTCATTAAATAAGGACTTATTAGTTTTCTTTATCCCAAATGTCCAGTGGCACAGGCAGCAGCATTGGCATTACAGGAATTAAAAGGAGATTGGGGAAATTTGCAACAGGGAGGTTGGCTTTCAGCAAGATGCTGAAAATGAGAAGATTCGGTCCAGGTAGTCTGTCAAGGTGTGATGGGCCGGGGAGCAGTGCAAGGCTTAGACCATGCAAGGCTTGGATCAGAAGCAGGTGGGGGCCAGGAGAGCTGGATGCTGGTGTACTGCTAGAGGAGAAATGAGGAGGCCTTGAGGGGGATGTCAAGAATTGGCTTGGGTGTGTCTGGGGCAGATGGTCTGCCTTCTGGGCCTGGAATAGAGAACATATCTGTTCTGGCCAACTGTGAGTGCATATGAGGATCAAAAAAAGATTAGGCAGTGAAAGTGTTTAAAGCTACAAACACTCCATGCACCACATGATCTAATCCAAGTGAAAGAGAGTTGGATACACTGTGCATGGCTTCTAACACATCAGCCAAGTCCTGTTTCATTTTTAATGGCTCTCCTTATTAACACTGCAGCTCTAATAAATGAAAATTCCTACAAAACAGTCTCTTGGCCATCTTCCTGTCCTTGATGATAGTATTCCAATCATAACTCTTGTGTTAGGATTTACCACTTACAGTTTTATCAAATCCTTTTAAAATATCACTTGTTCAGTTACCCAAAAAGTGTTAAGATACAGCTTTAAGTCTAGACTTATGGGAACTAAGCCTGTACAAGCTGTGTGAGACAATATGTGACCACCTTTTCATTCCTGGCCCAGCTAATCATCATCTCTCTCCATCCAGATGTCCCAGTCCATCTTATTTTATGCCTCTGTGCCTGTGCTTGTTCCCTCTGCCAGAAACACCTTCCTCAACCTCACATCATATAAAACTCCTATTCACCCTTCAAAACTCCATTTAGATATTCCATCTGAAGCTTTCTACCAGCTTTTCAATACAGGAACTCACTGGTTTCTAGCCCCATGCATGTAGGAATTATTGCATATATTACACTCTATTTCAACTATTCACTTGTTTAAATTCCCAGATCAGGAGCCTGCCATCATTTCAAGGCCTGTGTGTGGCCTTGGCTTAGTGATCTCTAACCACAGGTTCAGAGGGCCTGAAAGAGAGTAAGAGATTTGTAAGTATGCCTGCACAAAAACTTGGTCCTATGTCCAGAGGTTCCATGTATGAATTTTTCAAAACTGAGTATTAGAAGAAATGCATCCCTCTGCTGACGGTCAGAGGAGGCTACAGGGTTAGGTTAAGGGTTCAAAGGCTTTTCAGACAGCCTGCCACAGCCCAACCTGTTTCTAAGAGGACGCCCCCTGCAGCTCCACCGCAGGTCAACAGCTTTCATTCCTACCAAAACTTGCATTAAAAAGTAATTTTTATATCGTGACATACTAAACACATACGAATCCAAACTTTCACGGAACAATGTTGACCGCTCCCTTGGGCAGGGCCCCGTTTTCTCTTTCTGCCCCTTCCTTCTCTCTCCCTCCCTCCCTCCTTCCTACTATCCTTGTTTCTTTCCTGTTGCAGGTCACAACCCAGTGACTTGCTCCCAGGGTTCTTTATTTTAATCGGTTTGAAAGACGCCAGCTAACGCTTAAGCTCATATAATAGAGATGGCTTCCCAGAGGAGGAGCCCAGGGCCCTGGGGCCGGCTGGAGGGGGAGCAGGGGCCGGCGCGGAAGGGGGCGGCTGGGGTGAGGCAGGACCCGCCCGTTCTAACCCGCTCCCCTCTCTTTGCAGCCGAGCCCCTGCCGCTCATGGACCTGTGCCGGAGATCCATCCGCCTGGCCCTGGGCCGCCAGCGCCTGCGGGACATCGGCGCCCTGCCCCTGCCTCAGTCTCTCAAGAACTATCTGCAGTACCAGTGAGCCGGGCCGGGCCTGCGGGGGGCCGGGCCGGGCCTGCGCACCTCGTCCACCGGGGCGTCCGGGGGGGTCTGCCCCCTCGCCGCGGCTCCCCGGGACTCCAGCTGTCTTCCCAACTTGGAAAACGAGACGTCTGTTGCCAACGGTGTCTTCTGCTCTGGAAGCAGCCCTCGCAGGCCAGACACCTCCCGGGAAGTCGCGCAGGGCCTGGAGCCGGCGGAGCCCCCGCCCGCCGCCCGGCCCCCGGCGGACACTGGTATTGATCCGAGAGCCTGTTTCCTTATTCAAGAGAATGAATAAAACATTTGGGCAGGAGACGCTGTTTTGTGGCCTGGTGCAGACAGAGCCAGGGAGAAACTGGCCAGCTCGGAGAGAAAATTGCTTCTGAATAATGAATGATGAAAGCGGCCGATGCCAGGGCCCCGCCGGACCCCGCTAGCCAGGCGGCCAGACGACAGGACACTCTAGGGCTCTGCGCCCCTTTGAAAGACCACGATGGCCCGGGGGTGCCCGCCCGCAGCACTGCGAGGGGACAGCGCCAGCGCCCCCAGCTGACCTCGGCGATGTTTACTACCCCCCCAAACCCCCCTCCCTAGCGGGCCCTGCAGCGGTTCTCTGGGTGCGCAGGCACCTCTCTTCAGGGAAGCTGGGCCTGACTGATTCACCCCAGAGACAGAGCGTATCCTCTGTAATTGTCATTGCTGTTATTTGACTTCGTATTGCGTTTTTAAAAAGAGGAGTGTGTTAAGGGCAGTGCTTAATCCAAAGGTGCTAATCGGGGAGCTGGGGGATTGGGGCGCGGGCGGAAGCCGGCCCGGCAGGGAGCCTTCTGGGGTCTGAGAGTCTCTAGGCAACCACCCCTCCAGGATGCAGCCTGGCGCCACCGAGCTTTATTTGAGCGAATTATTTTTTCACTTTAGAATATTTGTTGGAGTTTGTTTCTGTTTCCAGTGTGTGTATGATGTGCTGTTTATTTATCAGCTGGGGGCCGCGGGGGCAGCTGGTGAGTGGAAGGTGGACGTGGGGCCCCTCCCGCTGGGAGCCCAGGCCTCTCGTGGGACCACCTGGCTGCTCCACCACCAACACCGTTTGCCATCTATCTTGTCTTTCCAAAGCTCTCTGCCCAGACTCATTTTTTTGCTGGAAATTGTCACAGCGGTGGATACCAGAGCCCCAGATGGCACTGCCTCCCCCCACTTTAATGTGAATTTGACTGATGAATGAGGAGCGTTTCTAATAAAGTTTGTCGTTCAGTCCTTCAGCTGTTTGTTGCATGCTCTCTGGGGAGGGGCTGGGAGGGTTTCTTCCATCAACCTGGTCTGTGCCCAGAACCCTAAGAAGGCGAGAATGTGAGACCCTCTCCAGACATATCTCTCTGTCTTGCCCCCACTTGAGTTCAGACCCAGGCCATTTTACGAAGGCCTGTACCTAGGGCCTGGGCCCTACAGAGCTGGCTGTGACAGTGGAAAACCAGGCCAAGATCCTTCTGTGAGTGGCACTGCAGGGGGCACAACACAAGCAGGGTAAGCCCTAGAAGATAATGACAGTGTCTGAGTCACCCAAAGGTGGGGCTGGATGCAACTTTGGAAGGAGCAAAGGTGAGTGCAAGGCTTAGCTGGGCTTGAGGCCAGAGTAGGGGCCTCAGGGGCCAGTTCAGGCTGGTGTCTTGACTGGCACAACTTTCACTCATCAGTGAGTGGCACATGTACTGTGCCAACCTCTGAGGACCCAGCAGTCAGACAAATATGTCCATCCCCAGGGACCTTGTTTACACTGCAGCATAATGAGGTGACAGGGAGCTCATGAAGGGCGCAGGGGATGACAGGACCTAAGGCAAGGCTTCCTGGAGGAAGAGGCACTCCACACACTCTTTTTTAGAGAAGAGAGTGGTGAAGACAGACCAAGGACAGACCTACTCTGACCAAGGGCTGGAGACTGAAACTCAGTCTCAGGCAGGTTTCCAGCAGGTGGATCGCAGGAGGCAACTCCCTACAGAGACACATCCTCAGACTTTGGGGTCAGCAGGTCTGGGTTTGAGTCCCAGCTTCATCACTTACACGCTGCAGTCTTAGCTAAGCCACTTCCTCCTTGCACACTGTAGGGGCTGAACCAGGTGTCCAGTCACTGAGGGCCCTTCCTTACCTAAACCAAGAGTCCCATTTGTAGCACCAGCTTTTCAGCTTGCATGCGTCCATCTCATCTGTTTCCATACCTTGCTTGCGTTAAGTTCCTCACCCCAGAATGCTATCCTATCCTCACTTCTGTAGGATCAGGTTTAGATCATCCCTTCTCCAGGAAGCCCTCCCTAACTATCCACCAATCTCTGCATGCTCTGAGAGTCAGCTTCTCGCCTCCCAACTTGAGGATCACTCTCTTGGCCTCCAGGTCCCTTATCTAAGCACTTGGACTGGAGTCAAGTACGTTAGAGGGAATGGGGGAAAAGAACTACCCACTGTCCCTTCCTTCTCAGAGTAAGAACATCTGAGCCTCAGTGAGCTAAGCTGAGCTGATATCAGAAAACACTGCACTGCCACTCTGCCCCAAGTTCTAGTTCAGTCGGCCTGTGTACATGCAACATCTCTCCAGGGTTCTTTATGCGTTGGAACCCCTTCCCTCCCACATACACACCCCATCAAAGGCCTTACCCCAGCACATCAGTCTCAGGGCCTGTGCTCATCATCCCATCACACAGCCCACTCCCATCCTTGGCATGTTTGATGAGGTCTGGCCTTTTTCCACATGACTCAATCCTGATGGAAGCACTTGCTGAAACTGTTCTGCTAATCACTTCCTAACCCTCCTCAGACAGAGCACGTGGTAGGCACAGCTCTGCAGACCTGAGTCCTGCCCAGTTCCTGCTTCACCCAGACTAACATGTCCATGTTATGAATAAGAGACATCCCTTTCCTTTGCTTTTCTCCATCACTTGGGCCAGCAGCTGACTTCTCAGGGGACCAGCTTTCGCTAAGAAACCAAGACATCACTGCCTTAGGATGTTAGAACCAAAGTGGCATCAGGAAGCAAATACCACAGGGACACAGTGACTATCCTGTATCCAGGGCCTCGCTTCAGCTGCAGCCTCCAGGACACACATCTGTGTCTCTGCAAATGGACAGGACACCGCATGGCATTACACCTCAGTCCCTAAGAAGTGGAAATCTCCACTTTTTTTATAAAAATATATTTATTACATCACCCTTCATTTTTGTGCAATATATGATTTCCCCATGAAATTCCCACCACCAATTCACCCGTGCACCATCACCATGGTCCCTTGTGCTCTGCCCACCCCTGTCCTGATCCCTCTCCCTCCTCCTCCCCTACAGAATGTCTCTGTCTAGGGTTGCCTGTTGGTTTTGGGAAATCTTCACTTTTGACCAAAAACGCAGAGCCTGCCGATCCCTCCAATTCTGGGGGCTTGGCCTGCAGATGTGTTTTGTGATCCCACTTAGTGTGTGTATATATTTTAATAAAATCAAGCCTGACCAGGAAAATCAAGTAATTTCCCAGAAAAATCCAGATTTTGAACTTCCCTGGAGAAATAGATGTGGTAAGACCAGGCACACATTCTTCATGGTGATGTGCGCCAACGCTGAGCAGTGACAGCCTCCAGAGAAGAGGATCTGTCCTGCGGTCCACCCCTAGGCCCACCCTTCCCAGGACTGCATGCTGCTGGCCTCATGGGCGTTGCTGCCTGGGTCTGGGTCCAGGCTTCCGCGTTTGCTTCTCTGGACTTAATATAACACACATCAGAGGGGAACAAGCCCACACACACATGCACTCCTCAGTCATGAGAGGATTCAGGAGGGAACCTGCTAGTCCTGGACCGGGATTTGAAATATCTCACAGTCTCAGCCCCTGACGTTCTGGTAACCCAGACACCTGGGGTCTCTACTTAGACACCAAGGATAATGTGAGTCCCTGGTGAGAAGGTGAACTCCTAGGAGACAAGGACAATAATTCATAAGCCCTCTTTTAATGCACTGAATGGTGTTGCTGCAGAACCTTGCCTACACATTATAAACCCTCGAGGAGCCTTGTAAAAACTCCCAGTGCTGGATCTTTCCCCAGACTGGTTAAATCAGGACCTCTGGGTTCAGAGCCTGGGCTTGTAGTTTTTAAAGCCCCCCAGGTGATTCTAACCCTGCAGCCAGAGTTAAACCCCACTGGATGAGAGGCTTAACTAGGTCCTTTCGGTGGAGACATGGTTGGCAAGGTTAGTGAGAATGTACATCCCAGAGAAAGTACCCTAACCCACCCAAGAGTCCCAGGACGGGAGGATTCTGAATGGCAGGTATCATCTGTGAGATTAAATCCAAAGGCAGGGAATTCATCCCATCCCTCTTCCTTCAGTGACACTGAGCTTATTATAGGGCAGGGAGAGGGGCACCCCAGGCCCTGGAAACCTCTCTGTTCTAAATAGGTTTTGCTATTCGCCACATTAAATCACGTTGGGTATCAAATCTGTTACAGGGCAGGGAGAGGGGCAGCCCAGACTCTGCAAACCTGCCTGCTCTAGATAGGTTCTGCCATCCGCCGCATCAACACAAAACTTATGAGACTTTAATGGGAAGGAACTTTAATACAATTAGGAAACAATACAGGAAAGCCAAAGAATATAGTTTCTAAATCAAGCACCCAAAGTTACCCGTCCCCTCGTGGGTGAAAGTCCACCCAAGCGGGATTGGCCCAGAGCAAGGCCCCAAAGCCTGCCACAAGTCTAAAGCATCTTCCAGTGGGGACCCACAGAAAAGGGTCAGAAACAACCAGACAAGTCTGGAAGGAAAAGAGCAAAATCAAAATCAAGACAAAAACCGCTATTGTCACCTCCCCACGGGTCTCACCCACATCTGTGCCACCCAGTCCACGACCAAAAGGCAAGCGCAGTTTCTTCACATGTCTCTCTACTCCATGTGCCTCCTCCAGGTCTCCTTCTGGCTCTCCATCCTGCTTCCTTCCTTCCTCAGTCTCCTCTGCAGCTTCTTCTCTCCCTGCTCAGCTCTACCCTCCTTTGGGTGGGGCA